TAGTTTCCCAATTCCCTGAGCATTTCAGAGGATTTATTTATTTATTTATTTTTATTTTTAATTTTTAAAATTTTTTATGGCACTCTTTGAATCTCACTTGTAGGGCTGACAGAATTAATGTGTTAAGTTCAGAGCCATGTCTATTTAAGATTTGGGGTCGGGGGTTGGGGCTTGTGGTTTCTCCCTTTTCTGTCCATCAGATCCCAGCCACTGCCACTTTCTGTTCCTCCTGGATAAAGCTAGCATTTATCTCTACCTCATCTTAGTTTCATGAATTACTTTTTCATTAGCCTTAAGTAGCTCAAGTAGCTCATTCCCCTTTGGGTGCTGTGAGAAATGAGGGTGGCCCAGATCCTAATAATGTGCTGGCTTGTCTGAATATCTTGTGGTTTGTGAAGGTAGCCTTATGGGAATAGAAAGGATACTTTGGAAGGAACTGAGCTCTGGTCCTGGCTCTGCCTCAGACTCACCTTGAAGCCTCAGAAAGTCTCTCTTCCCTTTGGACCTCAGTTTTCCCATCTGAAAAGAAAGGACTTGGATCTAGTCCCTCAAAGATCTTCCTGCTGTGACAAATACCAACTCAAACAAAAGGCATAATTCTTATAACACTTCCATAATCCTCATCACGTGCTTTCTCTGCATTTTCTTCACAAGAGCCATGGATGGCCCATGCTAACCTCCTTGTATGAGGCAGTGTACTGTGTAGATTAGAAGTGTGAATTCTGGGGCCAGTTAAAGGGTTCTAATTCAGACTCCCCTAAGTAACTTGCTAACTGGCTCGGGCAAGTTAATTAGTATCTATATTTCCTTATTTATAAAAATGGGTATACTGCCCAGCTGGTGTTGCTTAGTGCTTAAACATTGACCCATGGACCAGGAGGTCATGAATCAATTCCAGGTCAAAACACATGTCTGGGTTGTGGGCTTGATCCCCAGTAGGGGACGCGCAGGAGGCCACAGATTCTCTCTCATCATTGATGTTTCTATCTCTTACTCTCTCTCTCTGAAATCAATAAAAATATATTTTAAAATTGGCATATTAATAATTGACTTTACAACTATCATGACAAAAAACTGAGATAATATATGAAAATATCTGGCTTGGAATAAGCATCATTGAATGATATCTGTTGTTATCTGTGCTGTGAATACAATGTCCCCAAGGAAAGAGGATGGTGCTTAAAGTTGGAAGATGTGGGTTCCATGCTTGTTTCCGATGTCCTGTCAGCTGTTGGACTCTAGGCCAGTTGTCTCCTCTGAACTTCAAACCCTTTACAGGCACATAGCATTTCTGTTATCCCTTATTGTAAAGGAGGAAACTTTTTGCTTTTCTCCTAAGACTTCTGAGGACAGAGACAGATCCTGGGAAAGTTTCAGGGTACCAAAAGTTGTTGCCACTAACCTCTTGCTTTAAATACTAAGAAAATTGTTGGAGAGGGGCTATGGCAGGAGGATACATTTTTAAAAAATCTCAGTTATTTCTAATCCTCATGAGTACCATAATGCACCTGGTGTCAGTGCTCTAAGCATAGCTCAAGAAAAAACTTGTGCTTTCAACATGCCAGAAGTTTGGGGTGAGGTGGAGAGGTTGACTTGGGGAGGGGGAGTGAAGTTGTAGAATTTTGTCTTAGAAGACATGTATGGGAGGGAGTCCTGCTATCCCCTGGGCTTGCTGTCACCAGCTCAGTCTTGCTAGGCCCCAAGTGCCAGGATGCCTGCTTTGCCTTTAGACTACAGCACCGAATGCCTGTGCTCTGAGTACAATGTCCCCATGGAAAGAGGACAGCACTTAAAATTGGAAAATGTGAATTTCATTTCCATTTCCTGTGGCCTCAGCCGGGGGACTCTAGGCCAGTTGTCTCATCTGTGAACTTCAAACCCCCTACAGGCACATAGCAATTGTTTTTTTCTTTCTATGTTCTCATTTTAGGAAATGGCTCGAGGTCCAGGAGTCAGCTTTGACCCCCCCCTCCCTCCTTTTCCTTCACTTTTAGCATCCTTCACTTTTAGTTAGTCTGCAAGCCCACAACTGACAGTTGTAACTATTCTTCATTATTCTCCAACTTAGGCTACAGCTGCAGCTTATATCTGGTCTCCTTTTCTCTAAAAGCTCTACTCTAGAAAACTAGACTATTCAGATCTGTCCTAATTGAAAGCCTTTATTGTTGCCATAATCCACAGAAGAAATTCTGAGCTCCCTTGCATAACCCCTGCTAAAATGTCTCTGGTCCCTTCCAGCTCTCCCAATGTATCCTAACCACAACTGTGTAGCCTGAAACTCCCTAACAAGCAGAATTAGGTTGGGCTGCAAGTGACAGGAACACTCTGCCTACCACTTAACACCAGCTTAATAAGAGAAAAAAGTATTTTTCTCTAAAGTAAGAAAAGAAGAAGTCCAGAGGTAGACATTCTAGAGCTGGTGTGATGTCCAGAGTGTCAGGAACCCAGACTCCTACTATCTTGTGTGGCTATGCTATCATGTGACTTCTACTTCATGAGCCAACATGACTGCTCCAGCCCCAATCACCACACCCACTTCTAGCCAGCAAGAGGGAGGAAGGAACAAAGAAGGGCATAACCCTGCCTCTTAAGAACACTTCTGGGAAATTACACTTGCTTACACACAATTGGTCAGAATTTTTGCTTTAAAGGAAGCAAGGGAATTTTTATTTCAGGTAGCTTTTATTTTTTTTCCTAATCTTTTTACTTATTTTAAATTCAAATTCCCTCCCCCATTACAGTTTACATTCAGACTTTTCTAGTCTTTATTTTAGTTAGCCATGTTTTGAGGTAACCATCCGAAGTGTTTGTTACCAAGGAAGAAAGAGAGAATGGATACTGGGTGACACCTAGCAATCTCTGCCACGCATTCTCACATCTGGAGATTTGTACACTTTGCTTCTTCTGCCCTGGACAGCCTCCCTTCCATCATCATACTCTCCCCTGGGTTGGCCTGTTCATATTTGGTCCTTAACACTCACTCACTCACCTTGTGGCCATCCTCGCCCTGGCACCCTGTACAATGGCACAATCCCTGGCTAAGGTGGGCCCATCACCCATATTTCTTGCCTGAAAGATATACTAAGGACAGGATTATATTCACCAGGCTTCCAGGGTTTCCCTACATCTGCGGGAAGGTATGGAGGCTATGTAGCCAAACTTGTGCAAATTTCTGTTCTTTGGGTTATACACATACCATCTGCCCTCCCATAGCTGTTCATCAATGTCACTTCAATGAGGTTGATTAGATCTCCACCTTCATGTTGATGAGTGGTCCAGGGCAGAGGGATTATTGTTGTGATTCTTGCTTTCATTTTCAGTCAGTTCTTGATTTGATTTCTGAAATGTGTTCCTCTCAGTTTCTACCTGAGCAACACCATCTTCCACTTGCATTTTAAGGGAAATGTCTGACAGTTGATCTCATATTATAGTTTTGGAGTTCTTAAGAGGGAACTGACTTATTTCACTATAAACCTTTGGGGCCCCGTTTCTGTCTTTCTTTCTCATTTACTCCTATACTCCATCTGATGAGTATGAAGGCCTAAGGAGATCACCCCACTTGCTTATGGTCACCAAATAAGTTAGGACGGAACCAAGAACTGAGCTTAGGTCTTTTTGTATCCAACTGTGGTATCTTTCATTTGCCACCACACTTTTCTTATATTGGTACGTAATTTTCTCCCTGAATTTATTTATTTATTTATATATATTTTTTAATTATTATTTTTAAAATATATTTTACAAAGAGGAAGAAAGAGGGATAGAGTTAGAAACATTGATGAGAGAAAATCATCAATCAACTGCCTCCTGCACACCCCCCACGGGGGATGTGCCCGCAACCAAGGTCCATGTCCTTGACTGGAATTGAACCTAGGACCTTTCAGTCCACAGGCTGACGCTCTATCCACTGAGCCAAACCGGTTTCGGCTCTCCCCAAATTTAGATTCGCTTAGGATGAATGCCGAAAAAAAGAAATTACTGAGTCAAAGGGCATACATATTATTTTTTTAAGGAACTAAATACATTTTAAAAAATTGATCTAACAACAGTTGTTGTCTTATGATAGTCACATTTTGCCCAGTGGGCTCCAATTATTGCTTATAGGCCAGTCTGAAAGCTCGGGAATGTGGAGGAGGAGAGGAGCTGTGACTGGTCTCCAGCAGGTTATGTGTGAGCATCTCACCAGCAGGGTGAGATTCTCGTGTTTAGAGGGGCATGTTTTTGTATATACTGTGGCCTCTACACACAGATTGATGACTTCATTTGGTGTTCAGCAATAGACATAGCCCTTCATTCCAACACAGCAGAAATCATTGGCCATGTGGGACTCATGAGAGATCCTAAGTCTAACTCCATCACAATCTGTAAACACTGTATACTGGACTTTATAGGTGATTAAAAGGATTTCTAGGGACTATGTTAATTAAATGAGATCCTGACTTTAAAGCTCATCCCGTTGCCCCTCTTTTTTTTTTTTTTTTTTAATATATTTTATTGATTTTTTACAGAGAGGAAGGGAAAGGGATAGATAGTTAGAAACATCGATGAGAATCATTCATCAGCTGTCTCTTGCACACCCCATACTAGTGATGTGCCCGCAACGAAGGCACATGCCCTTGACCAGAATCGAACCCAGGACCTTTTGGTTCACAGGCCAATGCTCTATCTTCTGAGCCAAATCGGTTTGACTCCTTGCCCCTCTTATGAGGTATAACTGCAAGGGACTAGCCACAAGCCTTTTCCACCATCCCCTCACCCAGTAATCTCTAAGTTTGAGTGCAACCCTCTCTGCTTTATGTCTGATTATTTATGACAGAATCCCCTTTGAGGGCCACACAGTTCAGCATCTTTGCCTTCTTCTAACTGAAGTTAAGTACTGCATGGAATCTTAGAAGCCTCATGGAGCTCAGAGGTCTCAGGTGGTCCTTGTGATGCGGGACAAATCGAACATTTATGTGTCCATGTCCATACTGTGACAGCTTGTCTGTTTCTTTCTGCAGTTGGTCACCACGGATCCGAACTTCCTCAAAGACAGTTTGTACAATGAGGGAATCCTGATTATGTGGGACCCATCTGTTTACCATGCAGATATCCCCAAGGTAAGTGGGTGTTCCCTGGAAACAGGAATTGAGTCTCCTGTTTGCCAACAGCTTTTCCCGAGCTCCTGGCTGACCTGGGCCATATGGGAGGACTGGCTCTGCCATCCAACTGTATCTGAACAGCAGTTCGGACATATTACTCATTTAATTAACATAGTCCCCATGCTCTGGTCCACATTGCCTTCTATTGGTCTCCTAATGATGGTTTGTCGCAGGAGGAACAGTGGCTCTTTTGAGTTACTATTAGTCCTATGAATCGTGTCACCACCCTTGTCTCAGAATTCTCATTTCATTCTCATAACAACATGAGGAAGTAGACAGAAGTGTGGTTTGTTTCCATTTGCAGATGAGGAAACTGGAATGTGGACAGGGAAAGTCACCTCTTTCTGGACTTGGTTTTCTAAGCAAAGGGCCAGATCTGTAACATCAGCTCCTTCAAGGGAAGAAGACGGGAGTGTCAGGCCTGCTGAACTCGGCCTCTCCAGAATGGCCCTCTCACTGTCATGCATGGCAGTTGGCCTCTCTCTGATGTGGGCTGCAGTGGCCACAGGAGAATGGCTTTAGGAAGGATAGAAAACATGGCTCTTGGGATACTGAGTTTGCAAGTTGGACATATTAATAGTTGGCAAGCTCTGGTGATCTTTCCCACCCCCCACTGCCTCAGTTTCCACAGTTTTGCACTAATCTTTGCCCTCATAAAAATAAAAATGAGGGTGGGACTCGATGGTGCCAGGGACCTCTTTCAGCACTGATATCATTCCCAGATTCTATGATCTTTAAATCTGAAGCTGTTCCAGTGTCACCATGCTCAAAATCCCCTGTGAGCGCAAGTTACATGCTTGCTCCCCCTGCTATCAGTGAGAGCTGTGATGTGGAGGAAAGTCTGACACTTTCTGTAATGGAGGGGCCGTGCCTCAGGATTCTGCCTTGTTCCTTCTTCCTTCCCACCCCCCATGTCTCCAGTTGAGGATGACTGCCTGAGGCAGCAGTGGCACTGGCACACTTCTCCCCTTGAAAAAAATCATTTCCTTCTTTTTCAGTGGTACAAGAATCCTGACTACAAATTCTTTGAAAACTACAAGAGCTATCGTAAACTGCATCCTGATCAGCCCTTTTACATCCTCAGACCCCAGATGCCCTGGGAACTGTGGGACGTCATTCAAGAAATCTCCCCAGAGGAGATTCAGCCAAACCCCCCATCCTCTGGGATGCTCGGTGAGTCCATGTCTGGTAAAGACCTCTCATGTTTGTTTTTAGAGGAGATTAGCTTTCTCCTGGGGTCTTATTCGTTCATTCATTCGTTCATTCATTTGTTCACCAAGCAATTGCTGGGTTTTCGCTGGCTTTGTACACTATGCCAGTTTCCAGCTAAGTTACAGAGATTAATAAGATAGACTTCCTTTTTCTTTAGGATGTTCAGTGGGAAAGCTCAGTCAGGTGGCTGAGGTAGCATTCAATTTGTGTGAGGAGGGAGCAACCACTGTGGGCCACAGGAGAGAGGACACTATATAGGTGGACAGTCCAAGAGCTTTTAGAGGAGAGCTTTGCATTAGGCCTTGAGAGGGGCATATTTGGCAGGTGGAGGTGAAGTGAAGCACAGTCAAGAGAGGGGGTGGTAACACAGGGACTCGGTTGAGGAGATGGAGACACTGACATCAGCCATACCACTTAAACATTCAAAACAAAAAATTCAGGAATAAGATAGTATCTTAACACAATATCTTTTAAAAATCCCAATGCAAAATTATAGGATGAATGAAATATCAAAATTTTAAATAAAGACAGGATGAATAATAATATGGTGAGCCATAGTGAAATCTGAGGATAAAGGAAGAATCAATAATAACTTTTTTTAAAATTTAAAAAATTGTTCATTCTAATTGTGGACCTGAAAAAATGAGCAGTGAAGTTTGACTGGGTTTGGAAGCTGATGTGGAGTGGGTTGGGCATAGGTGGGCAGAGTACAGGTGCTGCCTATACTCTGTACTCTGGATGCTGGCTATAGGCTTTCTTCTTGGACTTCCTCCAGTTCTCTTGGCCTTCAGGGAATATTTTCCTTCCCTCCCTTTCAATTCTAGTTTAGCTGGTTTATCGGCGATGTCCACAGGGTTCTAGGCTTGGTACATGCATGGGATGGGAAGCTCCCTCCTCTGGGCCCTTGAGTGGGTTACTTTCCACCAATGGCCCCAACCACTCACCATTGTGTCATTTGCCTTTCCACTCTTCCTATAAGACTGCAAACTCCCTCAAGTGTGGGGACTATGACTTCCCCTGTTACATTGCAAACTCCTTCAGGGTGAGCACTGTGGTTGACTCATCCTTTGTGAGTCTGGCACAGGACAGTTCTGTAGAAAATGCCCCCTGAATAAATGAACAATTAAGTGTTTAATAGCAGAGGTACTCCTTATAAAAATAGACAAGGGCTCTTCCAGTTTCACAGCTTCATATCTCTCTTCAACTTTTAAATGGGTGCATTTGAGACTTATCCTGGAGCCCTTTGAGCAGGAATAGTTAGAGGATGCATTATGGAGAACATATTTCTCTGTTGCCATACCTTTGCCCATGTTGTTCCTTCCACCACTAATCCTCCCCGCTTGGCCATTCCTCATGGCCATAATCCCTGTCAGCCCCCACACCAGTTCTCTGGGAGATTTACTCTCTCATAGGAAGTGCTCCATGCCATAATTTCTAGCACTCCTGGTGTGCCTACATCCCTTAGTTGCAGTTGTATCTTTTCTCCCCCATTGGACAGGGGCAACCAGAAGGCAGAGAGAGGGCTTTCCCCATATCTGATTCTTTTGGAACAAAGATGATGCTAGCAGTTTCCAGTTTTGCTGTTAGTGATAACTGTTCCATCATAGTTTCCCTATATTTATGTTGACAAAAGGGGTCTTAGAGCCATGATCTTATTGCATCCTAATAATAATAATCTGGGTGGTAGGAGGTAGGTAGATAACCCTGTTGAGGCGAATGAAGAACCTGAAGAACATGTCCTGGATGCGATGACTGAGCCAGGTGGGGACAGGTGTGGGTGGTAGCAGCAATATCCTGCCTCTTGATGGGTTTGCATCTCAGTGTTTGCACTGCCTCTCTGAGAGTACTAACGTGGCCCCACCTCCTCAGCTCCAATCCTTACCTGAATGAGCAGAGCCCATCAACACAGACCATGGTGTGCTCCTCTTCCATATGTCCCTCCTCCCAGCTAAGGGAGGAAAAAATCTCCCATCACCACACGGTTTCCTGCAAGTACCATAAAAAAAACCTTCTCCCAAATAGCACCATCTAAGAGGTTCCTTCGGGATAAAAAAGTACTAAGAAGTATTATGTACATGTGATGGTTCTGTCTTCTCAGTCGCCTTGTCCTCTCTCTTTACATAGCTCATTTGCATAGGTAAATGCATTGGTGATGAATGGAGTCTGTCAATCTGCTAATGTTTAGGAAGGACCTGCCATGCACCAGGTTCTGGCCTACGTACTAGGGATACAAATGTATATCAAGCTCAGTGACCCACAAGGAACAATCTGCCAGATTGGCTTACCAGAAGGACTCATGATGGGAATCATAAGAATAACTAGGAAATCCAGATAGACCTCTCCCCAAATTAGGGGTCATGAGCTGTGGACTCACTGGGCAGAGCTCCGAGGAGCAGGGTGGGTTGTCGGGCAGGACTTAGCCTCTTGTTCCCCTCTGCAGGCATCATCATCATGATGACGCTGTGTGACCAGGTGGATATTTACGAGTTCCTGCCATCCAAGCGCAAGACCGATGTGTGCCACTACTACCAGAAGTTCTTTGACAGCGCCTGCACATTGGGTGCCTACCACCCTCTCCTCTTTGAGAAGAATATGGTGAAGTACCTCAACCAGGGCATGGATGAAGACATTTACCTGTTTGGAAAAGCCACACTGCCTGGCTTCCGGAGCATTCACTGCTGAACATGGGCTCCCTGGCCAGGTGCCCTCACCCTTCTCCATTGGGCATTTTATAGCTCATCTCTTGGCCACCCTTGGCCTGGGACCATGTTCTCAAACAGCCCCTGCCTGCTCCTTGCACTCTAGGCCTTCCATTGTCAAGGGCCCTGGGGTTTCAGGGAACCATGGACGAGGAACCAGGCCCAGTCTGCCCTATAGCCATAGAGGTGTGTGAGCTCAAAACCCCCTGCCACACATGGGCATACACACCTAGCACTCTTTCCAGACAGAGTCTTCCCCTCCTTCCACATGGGTAAATATGAGACCTATCTTTCCTACCACGGCTGCCCAAACTGAGGGCTGGTTTCCTCCCAAACCAGCACTCCATGTTGCTTGAAATCTGCACTTAGACATTGATTTCATATTTGAAAGAAATTCTCCCAAATTATGATTATGTCTATAGAGTGGCTCTGGGGAAGGGAGTTGGGGGGAGGGGGAGAAGAAAGTGCTACAAGGTGTAGGAAACATGCTCGATTCCTCCTAAGGAAGTCGCTCCCAAGGTCCATGCCCTCGGGAGAGGCAGTGTCCTATCATTCAGGCTGTTTGGCTGGTCCCTCAGCCTGCGTGCCATGTGCAAAGGGTCTTGATGAACCCACATTTCTTTACATATGGAATTGGAGCTATAGAAATGTATAATCTACATCCTCAAGTTGCTCACAGTTCAGTGGGAAAGACAGATGAGTAGGAAGCGATGAGCTCAGTGGCCTGGGGGCCTATAGAGAGGTGGATTTGCTGTCTGTCTGTCTGTCTGTCTGTTAGTCTATCTATGCACCCTGAAAAGGAGGAGCACACCCTGTGTCTGTGGGTCATAGAGGACTTCACAGAGCAGAGGCCAAGGAATGGGTTTTAGAGAAAGAAGGTAAACATGTCAAGCAGATCTGACATAACTCAAATGTCTGAGTCATTTGAGTTATGTTTTCCTTTCTGCCTTTATTACCTATATTTATTCTCTACAGTCTGCCTGAACTTTCAGGTTCAAATTATTTTTTGAGGAAAATCCCAATCTATGTGTGAGGCAGTAAGTGCAGCCCCATGGACGATGCAAGAACATTGCCAAAACCCTTATTTCCCTAGGCTCAGCTTGGCCTGCCCTGAGCCTATCCTACTAGTTGGGTTTGTATTGTACACTGTATCCACCACCTCTTCCTTTTTAATGCTCACCCCAAACCTCTATCTATCAACTTATTTTCCTCTTTAAAGTGGCCCTCCCCCTCCCAGAATACTTCTAAGCATTTTCTCTTTTAAAAGTATCCTGACCTCAATGTCTTTGACCTTCGTGGGCTTTCTGTGGAAGGTCTCTCAGGGAGTAGGGATATGGTTCCCGAGAACTTAAATTTGCTCTCTGAGGTCAGAATCTTAGAGACAATAACTGATTTTCACAAGGCAATCAAATGGCCTCCCCTGATGCCACTCCAGCAAGTGGTCAGGGGCAGTCTCCCATTTACTAGCCATACCACCCTGGGCAAGTTTTCCACATCTATAAAATGGGCATGATGAACCTATTTCACAGTGCTGTTGTGAGAGTCGCATGAAATGCCTGCCCTGACTCTGTTTCTGGCACCTAAAAGGTGCTCAGTATATGACAGTTTTCTTCCTTCTCTGACTAAGGACTTGTTCTGTGCTCACACTTGAGCAGCACCCTGCTTTGAAGGAGGCCAGAGATGGGGTCCTATCTTTAGGAAATTAACTGTCCTGTCAGGAGACAACTACTACCCTGTTTAGAACAACCGTAAAACTATCTGAGGCAGAGAAGGGGCAGAATATGCTCCTGTTCCTTCCTGCAGCCCAGCCCTGGCCTGAATCTGCTTGAGAATGGGTGGAGGGAGCACTTGGGCCACTAACTTCTATGGAACTAGTCTTGCCTGCCTCCCGGGGCCCATAAATTCTTGGCTTGCTTCTCTTACTTGACTCACGTATTGCAACCTTTGAATCATGAACATTGAGTGCAGAGGAACGTGCCATTTCATCCTCAGGAGATAGATGTTGGTATGGACACTGAGACTACACTGGGTAGATACTAGCTTTTAGTTATTATTAATATAAGGAATCAAATTAATTTAAGTGTGATTCTGTTCTACATAGAAACTCTAATGCACACACTATTGATCTGGTGAGGTGTTTAATATGTGTTACAGATAATTGGAAACATTGAAATGCCCCTGTCTCTAAGGGGTTCAGTCCTTCACAGTAATCATGAGATCCTCTAATCCTTCACCAATCAAATAGCTGTTAACATGATTTGGAGTTGAGGCATCTTCTGAAAAATGCCTAAGCTAATTTTGAATTATTCAAAGCTTATGTAAATTTTTAAATAAATGTTTTTGTTTTTTAAAAAAGTTTGTCCCTCTCTTCTTATTTGATAAGGGAACAACTGATAGTCACCTCTCGTCTCCAAAGAGGACACGGCTGGAATCCTGAATCCCTAAATCTGCCCCCACTAGCCTCTCTGCAGTGCTCCAGGAAAAGGAATGGTCACTTATGTGTTAGAATAGCATCTGTGAGATACTGACTGATTTATTGATTTGTCTTTCTTTTACTTTTGCTTTTGCTTGGATTCACATGACTAAGCTGTTGTTTGTGCAGCACCTTGGAAGAAAGCAAAATAAACGGATGGTACTTACCTTGGTTTCCAATAGTCTTAAACCCTTAAAAGAATGATATCCTAAGGGAATAGCCAAAATGTTTGGATAAAGATCTTGAGGAGATGCAGGAATAAGGGGAGAAGGAATTCCATGGCTTTCCCTATGGGTTGAATATGTCCCTTTAAATTCATACATTGAAGTCCTAATCTCCCATGCCTCAGAATGTGAACTTACTTGGAAGTAGAATTATTGCAGAGGTAACTAGTTAAAATGAAGTCATACTGGAGTAGGGTGAGCCTCTAATCCAATGTGACTGGTGTCCTTATAGAAATTTGGTGATAGACATGCATGTAGGGAGATCACCATGTCGAGACACAGGCAGAGGTCAGGTCAGAAATTTGATCTCAAAGACCAAGAAGGAAATGATGAATGATAAAACCCACACATTCCAACCCACACAGGGCCTGGAATTACATAAATCTTGGAAAGGGAATTTTTAAGACTGGTTTGACAATACCTCTCCTACAAGCCAAAGATTGCTGGCAAATCACCAGAAGAAATTGGAGAAGAGGGGCATTTAAGATTCTCCTTCAGAGCCGTCAGCAGGAACCAACCCTGATGACACCTCCATCTCAGACTTCTAGCCTTCAGATCTGTAAAAAAATAAATTGCTGGGTTCAAGCCACCCAGTTTGTGGTATTTTGTTACAGCAGCCCTAGCAAGTACTCCTGCTTATGACTCCCCCCTATAATAGAGTCCTCTGGGTCTGGAAAGGAGAGTGAAAGGGTTGTGGCTGTCTGAGGGCCTAGAGAGAGGGTCCTGTGTCCAGCTCCCCAGCCAAAGTTCTGGGAATGAACTTGGAGAATCTGGCTTCACAGGAATGGGAGTCCAGGCAGATGAGACCTGAGGCAGCTTTGAGGAGATTCCCTTCCTGATGAAGATCATGAATGAAGGACATGTGAGTAGCTAGATAACACCAAAGACTGTACTCCCAATCCCTGCACCCAATTCCTTAGTGTTGTATGTTCCCCGGAACTCAGATGTAATGCCATATTGACTGAGATTGGTTTTCTCTCAGGATTTCAGTAGAATGGAAGCTCAAAATAGAAATAAAAACAGTTTTCAGTGAGTTTGGGAACTGAGATCTGTGCTTTCCAAATTACAGTGGCTCTAAATCTTTCTGTGGCGATGAAGTCTGTGCTTGTCTCTAATGACATCTCTGCTGTAGGGCAGCCTACAGGTAGGCTGGCCCACCTGAACAAACATCGCCAGCTCGGAAGGCTCAGGTCCTGGCATCAGCGCTCTCTGTGCTTCTTCAGATGTTTGTCTTTATCTCTTGCCAAAGAAAAATCCAAGGAGCCTTAGAGCAGGTGAGAAAAAGCTACATAAAGTTCATCACACTCCGAAGTCCGCTTGCCAAAGGTCTGTCTGAAGGCACAATTAGGTGAATGGAAAAGGAATAGTCAGTCATAGGCACAGGCACAAAAATGGCTGAGAGTCTGTTCCATTCTCAACAACTCAGGTTGAGACAAAGGCCTTGAGCCTTCACAAATCTCCATGGAAGGAGATCAAAAGGGAAATACCTGCTGTGTTCCTACATGAATACCTCCTTTCCGAACGAGAAGCATCCAATTCTTGGAACATATCTCACAGGGAAAGTGTGGCCCTGGGCAGCACTTAGTAATAAAGTATTCAATAGAGAGTTCTAGGTGAAAGTAAAAACACAGAGAAGCTCTGAGCAGCCTCTTTTCACAATAAAGCAATCCACCCATAGAAGATTATAATGCCCCAGGCAGTGCTTACCAAGAGCAGGGAGTTGGTGGTTTGTCAGGCGGTAACCATGCTGATCTCACTGTCTGTCATACTTGGCCAGCAGTGCGTAATCTCAGTCTTTTCCCCCTCCAGCTTCCCGCATCTGAGTTATTTCTCATTAGACCATGGTAAATTCCATCAGAAGCCACATAGCAGTATTTCATGTTTACCAGCTGGAAGGATACCAGCACGGCCAGCCCACAGCTCAAGAGTGGTAACACTTTTAAAAATTGTTACTTCCTTATGTTGAAGTTTCTGCTCTTGCCTAACTAAGCAACCTTTACTTAGGACAGACTCTGTAAGCCATTCCTGAAATTCATTTTATACGCTTTGAATCTAATGTCCACTAATCTTGCCAGCTATGCCTTTGCATCCTCTTCTTTTAGAACTTTAAAAAAGTATATTAAATGTGTTCTATCTATCCATCCACCCAATCACTTGTTCATATAACTGATAAATATTGCTATACGTACACTGTGCCCCATCCTGGTGTCACTTGATAGAGTTACAAAAATAATAACAATAATGACAACTAGAGTGACATCAACAAGGTGCAACATAGAAGACCCT